CATGGAAGGTGTAGCATGAATGCCACAGTAGCAAATTCTGCAATCGCAAAATTAAAACCTCGCAAACCTGTCCGGATTCCGAAAACGCAAACTAAAAACGCCGCGAACATTTCACGCTTTACAGTAAACCGACCGGCAGTGCTCACAGCTGCAAGGCCCGTGGCCCGTTGTCGCTTGACAAACGGATTTCAATGTCTATCACAGTCCATACCTTGGAGAAGTTGATATGATCGTGGCATTTGTTGCACTGGACAACGTGATGTGCATATTGTATGGTGATGGGTGCAACTGAGGTCACCTGAAACTGATTCAGGACTTGTGGCTTCAGCCCCTTGGGTGTCCATAATTACCAGATTTGATTGAACTAACTTGGCTGTTTGGATTACTTTATACACAATATAATTATTGTTTCACATGTATACTCTTAACTAAATTGTGTACAGGGCACCGAGGCTCGAAAGTCAAGTATCAAGCCTGGACATCAGCTGCACAGAGTTGTTCTCGGCGGAGGGTGTGCTTCTGGCCAGCACGGAATGGTGGCAGTGTTTCCTCCGTCCTTTGGCAGCGTCCCTGACTCAAGTGAACGTGAGCCACACAGCAATCAGCGACCGAGGTGTTGAGGTAATCAGATATCATGTGATTTGGATCCTAATGGGTAGCCTTTTTATTTTTTTATTGATTTTTTTACTATTGGATACAGCCCTACTGGAGAACAGGTGGAGAACAAAAAGCCTGATATCAATTCAACCAGGGTTCCAAAAATCACTAACTTGATGGTTGCACCTCTCCATGTTCCCTGTACACCCTACCATGTTGCATTCATCTTCGTCCTTTTTCTTTCATGTCTATTGAGGAGGTGGTCTGCGGCTATTCACTAGCACTGAGAATCAACTAGTCCACATACCACGTGAGCAGCACTGCACCCTCCCCAGTCGATTGCCTGAGGACACACGTGGGTACTGGAATCGTTATCGTACTTCCTCAGCGGCACTGCAATGTCCGCTTCTTTTTGTTCAAGAGAGGGGTTTATTTTGTTCATTGGCTCTTAGAGACAGGGCTCTATTCTAGACACCAGGGTGCTACAGTACTGTAAGTAAACAAATATTCAGCGCATATCTATTTTTCGGCTATTTTCGGCCTGGTCATATTTGGCCAATGAATTAGTTGTGGCCGAAATTTAGTTTTGCAAGGTTCAATGTGGCAGTGTATGCAGGCAGCAGCAGTGAAGGCCGAAGATTTACTGCGGCTGAAATGTGTTTTAGCCCTGGGAGGCCGAAATTTGAATGGGCCGAAAATTTGTCAACTTGCAGTATTCCAGAAAGGGCTCAAATTGAGCAAGTGTGGTACTTCATCTCCTGACTGCTTTCTGCTGTGATCAAAATGATGTCCAGGTTCTGCTAGCAACGTGCACACAACTACAGGAGCTGGATATATCGCACTGTCAGCAGTTGACCAACAGCATGTTGGATTTTGTGAGGATTGCGGCTCCTGTAGCTGTGTCCGAGACCGATGATCAAGAGCACCATCAGCTTGATCCCAGCGGTATGCCTACTGCGGTCATTGCACAGCATCTGAGGCATGTCTTGGCTGCCAACACGAATCTGGGCTTCAGAGCTATCCGCAAGCTGGCGCTGATGTGTCAAGATCGTTTGGAAACCGTGGACATTGGTCTGTGTGAAGGTCTCCTCGCTACTGCTCTCCTATGCCTGAGTGGTTATGCAGTGGACAAACTAACGGACAGTCCCCCTGGCGACGTAGCACAGCTGGCTACGTACAAAGAGTACTTGGAAAAAAGTGGCGATCCATGCTTACAATCTTGCCTGTCCGCTACTCCGGAAGTCACAGACACTATGCGGCAGCGTCTGTATCACTGTGGGTATGTTATCCGAGGACGGGCATTCACACCTAATCTTTCAACGGTGAACATTACTGCGGTGCTTAGGGCAGACGCTGTGAGTGACATTTGCGCAGCACTGTTCTTCATGAACACGTCCCCTACACTTCAGCGACTGATCTGTGGCTCACACAGCGCACTCTTCTTGGCAAAGCAAACGAAGTACCTTAGATTTGTAAAGGACATTGACCTGGTGAGTATCGGTTTATGTGCTTGTGTGTGTGTGTGTGTGTGTGTGTGTGTGTGTGTGTGTGTGTGTGTGTGCGTGTGTGTGTGTGCGTTTGTGTGTGTGTGTGTGTGTGTGTGTGTGTGTGTGTGTGTGTGTGTGCAAGGTGCTATGTCTAAACATAGCTGTTCGCTATCATCGCTTCTGCGATGGGCAGGTCTGAGGTCTGAGGTGTGTGTGTGTGTGTGTATATGTGTGTGTGTGTGTGTCTGTGTGCGTGTGCGCATGTGTGTGTATGTGTGTGTGCATGTGCGTGTGGTCGCTATCATCGCTTCCGCGATGGGCATGCCTGAGTCTCAGTCTCAGAGTGTACAGTAAACCTGGTTTATGTGACCACCCCACGATGCAAGCGAAAGTGGTCGTTAAAGCCAGGTGGTCGTTAGAACCAGGTCCCATACATTTGCGGCATATCGCATCGTGTACATACCGTATAATCTCTGTTATAAGCACAGGTCTCTATTACTAGCGCACTGTGAGTGCCTTTCGAAAAGATTTTAGCGCGATCTATCATAATGTGGGTCTGGATCTGTTGGGTCTGTTGCCAACCAGCTGGGCTGCTTGAAGGCGTATTGTTGTACCTGCCACCTTTGTTGGTTTCAGGGTTCATGTACAGATTCTATTTGAAGTATACGTACCTGCCACCCATGGACTGCTTCTGGCTATATTAAAGTTGTGTGATCAATAGTGCTAGTGAAGCTTATACCAGCCTGGTGATCCACTCTGATTTAGCCATCCAAAACAGTAGAAAGATTAGTATTACCTTCACTGGGGTCATTACTGGTGGTTTGCCACTTTGTGTTGCTTTCACTTCTTTGACTCTGCAGTTTGGAGCAAGAGACCTAACTCTTGATGACCTCGTAGGATTCTGTACTGAGGAGCACCATTTGCAACACTTGAATTTAGTAGATATAGCCACTCGTCTAAATCCAGAAGTGGACATCGCCCAAATCTTCCGCATGAGCCGGATGCCATGGCTCTCATTCAAGTACTATGGCGATGATTTGAGTGCAGACACGTTTGCGGATATTATTCGCATTGCTTCACCAACGGTAAGCAAGAGTGTGTGCGTGCTTGTGTTTATGTGTGCATGCATGTGTGTGTGTGTGTGTGTGCATGCGTGGGTGGATGCATGTGTGTGTGTGTGTGTGTGTGTGTGCGTGCACATTCTTTTGGTTTGCCTGTCTGTCTACCTGTCTGTGTGTCTGTATATGTGTCTGTCTGCCTGTCTGTCTGCCTGTCTGTCTGCCTGTCTGTCTGTCTGCCTGTCTGTCTGTCTTGGCCAAAGTTTGAAATCCATATGCGACTAGACTGATTGGATCTGATTTAACATTTTGATTGACGAGTGTCTTCTTCAGGATGGTGATAATCATTATCAATTATCATTCCGAAGAAAAAAAGCACTTGTAGAAAGGTATCAATCAGTCTGGTCTTGCTGCTGTTGTGTGGTCTGCCTTATCCTCTGTTGTCTTTTCGTCCGTCTCTCTGTCTATCTCGCTGTGTTCACTTACAAGCCATTCAGAAAAATTAATGATGATCGGATCTTGATTTTGGCCATACATGGGTGAATGGTTGACCTTGTTCAAAAGTGTTTTGCCCTGCAGTGTGGAGTTCTCTTCCAATTATTGTGGATGTACTTGGTCCGGCTCATCGCAATTGTCGCTTATCTATCGCCACTAAGAACAGGAGTTTTTTTTACCGCTCTGTGAAATTTCCACTAGGCATAGTGAGGAAGCATGATACAAGAATACTCTCCGCCACAAGAAAAAAATTTCAGCAATGGAATCAGGTGAAGCGAATCGAAGAAAGGCAGCAAGGTAAGCGAAATGCACGAAATAAATCCGCGAAGGAGCGCGTTTTTGCACTCACACTCTTACAGGTCCAGAATTCATTCAACTCTGCATCACTCGAGCTGCCGCGCCGTTACATGAGCTGACATTTGCTGGTGTCTAGCTGCTGGCGTAGACTGGAGTATCTCTTGCTTTCTCAGGCTGTCGTGTGGCAGCAATGAGAAAGGAACAGTTGTGGCTGTCACTTCGGTGCTTGAAGGAACAGCTGTCAAACGCTCGCTGGATACGCTGACCACGACTCTTGTAATGCTGCTGCTAGGTCCACCACGCAAGGAACAACAACCCTCCGCCGGGCGCATCCCGTCAAAAACACCTTTCTTCTTCAGCATGACGCTCATGCGGCTCATACACCTCTGCCGTGCACACGTGCCTGTCACGCTCTGCAGGATGTCAGTTGCCCCTACCACAGTTCCGGTCTTCGGGTCGCTGCGCTTGGCTTTTGGCAACACAGACAGTGAATGGCCAGATTCCCACTTCCCAAAAAAAGTCGAACACATCGCGATTCAAAGCGCTAGTCGCAATCATTTTTCTTTGGTGCCTCCTTTGATCTTGCCATAGGTGCGTGGGAAATAAGCGACAATTGCGATGAGCCGGACCAAGTATATTTATCCAAAAGGTGGACCATGTTTTAAAAAGTAAATTATTTATTTTCAAGAAGGTCTTTGACTGTTTCGGCCCGGGTAAGTGTTGAACGTTGTGCAGACATGCTGGTCAGAAACAGGTTTTCGTCAGAATTAGACTGGAGTTTCACATGTAATTATCCTCGGAGTGCCTGCATCCTTCTCTGTTCAAGACCTTGCTTATTGCGTACGTCTCCTTGTCTCTTGTGCAGCTTGAGAGGCTGCAGCTAGCGTACATGGACAATATCCCAGACGATGTGCTATGTCTCGTCTTGAAGCTTTGCAGATCTGTGAAGGTTCTTGAGCTGCGAATGATGGAAATTGGTCCTGAAGTCATTGACAGCCTTCTGCATAGCTGTCCTCCAAGGCTTACCGAACTGTCACTGCCCAAGTGTTCCTTTCTCCTGTGTAACGAGCACATTGCATGCGTGGCTCAGTCTTGCCCACTCCTGGAGAAAGTGAATCTAAGTTGGCACACCAATATCGGCAATGCTGCAGTGCGATCGTTACTACTCCTTTGTCCCATGCTGCGCATACTGGAGGTGACCGGTGTGAAACAGCTCACATCCGATCCGTTCTTGCCACTGGCGGTCGTATGCAAGACTTCAGACAGTGTTGAAGATGAAGCGGTACTGGACTCTAAAATGATGGCACTGGTCAAACACAACCAACAGGTAAGGATCATTCTAGAAAGAACTGAGAACAATGTCAATTCCCGTGTGTGTGTGTGTGTGTGTGTGTGTGTGTGTGTGTGTGTGTGCGCGCGCTCGCGTGTGTATGTGTGTGTTTTTATGTATGGGGTTTCTCGGCACTTGTGCCATTGGTTGTGAGACTTATCCACTCACCCCCACCATTAGCGCTGCATCTGCCGCTAGGGTTTACCGGGTGTTAACGGCCGTCGTGAGTTCCCTTTTTACTTCACTTTGTTTTATGTATTGTTGGTTTTCTGCATGTTTGGTGTAATGCAGTGCTACGTTCGTCGCTCAACAGTGTACGGTCGTAACTTACAGCTTCTGGACTTGTCATCGTGTGATCATGTGGATGATGAGCATCTGATCACAATAGCGCTAGCGGCATTCCGATCGCTGCACATTAGGAACTACTACGGGGCCATGGTCACGGAGAGTGGCGAAGAGTATCACTTGTATTAGAATGCACCGCATCAACATACCAATCCAGTCATGCCGGCCAGCTGAGACGGCAATTTGATTGTTTTGAGTGTGTGTGTTTGCGCGCGCGCGTGTGTGTGTACCCACGTCGGCGGTGGAAAGACTATGCTGTGAAGGACCTCCGCTCACGAGACCTTGGAGCGGACTGGTATACATGTATAGTGGCCTGTGACCCTTGCCCAGACTGGAGGCTGTCTCTGTGCGTGCCACATTGCGTTCATGCATGCCCGTCGCATGTCCGTTGTCTTGGAGGAACGAATAACTTCCATAGTATAGTATATTATGATGTATTTTACTTCAGTAAAATGTATAGGCATGTTATGCCTCCTCGCCGGCCGTGATGGCCGTGTGCATGTCGGTGCATACGAGTAACCTTTCTCTCCACTTGAGAGTTTTGTGTACATTGTCGACTGTGTACATTGTCGACTGTGTACATTGTTGACTATGTACTTAGGTGGTAGGAAGTGGCAGTTGGCTGTGGCCAGATAAGGATCAGCCAGTAATTCCCCGCAGGTGAAACCCTACTGTGTAATTTTAGGTCTGTCCTGCAGTCCCAGCTCCCACCTATCTGATGAGTGATGTGGTGGTCAAGGGAATGCCGGTTTATGAGGCGGTTAGGCAGAGCACCATAGCCAGGGCTTGCAAACCAGGAAACTGATGTAAAGAATGGGCATGCTCATCTAAAGTTTTTTTCGCAGCTAAAGTAATGTTAGAAAGTGTCTTTCATTGAAGTGTCCTTCGGTGAATTGTCATTCGGTGAATGGTCGGTAACCCTCATCAGTTGAGCTTGAGTAGGCTGAGGAAGATTGTGCCTGAAGGGCACCACTTATACTGTACTTGTAGTGCTCTCCAGGTGCAAACTGTGTCAAACATCACTAGGGATACAAACTTACAGAGACGCTCCGTTTCCAGCGCGACAAACACCTCGTGAACACCAGACAGCAGCGTGAGTCAGTGACGCTTCTGGACGGTGAGAGCAGACGTCGAGGACCCTTGCCTTGGTCATTCGCAACGCTGTCACCTCCAAACCAACTAGTCGCAACCCCGCGCTGGGCACAACAGTACGAAGTAGTGGTTGCGATTTCGGCGATGATTTGTAAGAAAGGGTTTGCTCCCCACACCGGAGCTCGCGCTATTCCGCCGACTTTACTTGACACTTGACTGACTCACAACTGCCATCCAGAGCACACGAGAAGTCCATCGAACCTTCGACTCGGCAAACCTGCAAGAAAGCACCACTCCCTGCTCAATACACAGTGTTTCGGGGAATTCATCCCTCATCAATTATTGAGCTTGAGTAGGCTGAGGAAGATTGTGCCTGAAGAGCACCACTTATATAGTGCTCTCCAGGCACAAACATCACCAGGGATACAAACTTTCAGAGACGCTCCGTTTCCAGCGCGACAAACACCTCGTGAACACCAGATAGCGGCGTGAGTCAGTGTCGCTCCTAGATCCTGGACGGTGAGAACAGACGTCGAGGACCCTCGGTCATTCGCAGGGCGAACACGGGAAAAATGCTACAAACACTTTCATTACATCAGTAGTAGTGTACATAGCCTAGGGCTGCCAGCTTCGCAGGTAGAAGCAGTGTGTCTCTCTGCGCTCCAAAAATAGCGCTATAAGTATACGTTTCACGGTGGAGCCAACAGACTGGACGACCGACGTAGTGCTGGTTTCACACATCGATTGTGCTAGACAAGGTCACATTTGGAGACTTTATGCTAGGGCAGTGCCGGTCTTCCCCACATGGGTAATTATGCTAGCATTATCCGCCGGTGCCTATCGCCGCCTGTTCAAATTGTCAAAGGGGTTCCTAGAACGTTTTCGTGTAACATTCATCAGTTGGAAAATGCATCACAATACTCAATAGTACTCCTTGTCAGTTTTGTGCCATTTTGTCACACTCGCTGACTGAACAAGATCTGGTTACTTGTACTTGTCTTATATCAAAAAATGTCCACATCATCACATGTGACATGGGACAAAATTTGCAATGACTATGTCATCCAGTCATGCTCGTGCTGAACATGACATGTGCGAAGATGTAATGCCTATTATAATAATTGATTACTGGTGCCGAGCGGATATGTGGCATGCCGCGCTGTAAAGCGAATAGGCTGTGAATCGCTGTATACGGCAGGGTTGTGAAATGGCTCGCGACGAAGCGTCGCGATGTGAACCAAATCTCGACGAAGTGTCGCAACACCAGTGGTTGGCGTTTCTCAAAATGTGGTCACTACGGTGTGCTGGCGCTGATCAACTTTCCGGTACCGCTCCTACACTGATGTTGTTGGCCCATCTTGCCCAACACGCATTCTTTCCAGGTTATCACTGTATCAGTCGCTAAATCTGGCACTCTGTGAAATGTCATACGGTGAAACGTCGGGATACCGCTCTAGCTCTGTGAGCCGAATTTCTGTGAACATGCTGTCGATGGGCCTGTGTTCCGTGAACCTCATTTTCGGCGAAATGACCGGAGTACCCCAGGGTTCCCACCTCGGGCCATTGCTTTTCCTGGTGCATATCAAGACAGAAAAGGTTTAGCATAAGTTGCCAACCATATTGTTGCTCAGACTAATAACCCTCCCCCTAGCTCTCCTGGACCGCCCTGTCACCCCTGATACTCGCTTGACTCCTCTGTCAGATACTTCTTCTTTCGTAAGTTTCTAAGTCCTGTCCTCTCTTTTCTAAATGCAGCTTATCCATTCGCCTTTATATCACTGGGCCTAGTTCCCATTTATTGTGCGAATTAAAATAAACCAACCAACCATATCAACAGCTTACCCAGTGCCTCAAAACACAACCAGCACGCTGATGTTCACCTATTCGCGGATGATACCGCCGTCGGCCAAGCACGAACCAAAGGTACCAGCCCAATGGAGACTGCCCTGCAGGACACATTTGCCTGGGCCGACCGAGTAGGCGGAACCTTTAATCCATCGAAAACCATTGTTATCTCATTCGCTGAGGAAGGAGTTGCAGAGACCATCCGTGGTATCCAGCCGTCAACTAGTCACCGTCACCTGGGAGTGGTGTTGTTGAGTGAAACACTTAGCGTCCAGGAGCACATTGAACAGACAATAAGCAAGTTTAGACAACGCTGCGTTCTTCTGTGCCTTATGGCTGACTGTTTAACAGGAGACATCGTCAGGAAGCTGTACCTTACGTATGTCTGCCCCACAGCAGAATATGCCGCCCCAGTATGGGAGTCCTCCCCCTATGCTGCACAGAGGCTCACCCTTGAACGGCTGCAAGCCAGAGTAACTCGCACAGTCATGCAGCTTGAGAGATGTCCTTGCCCATCAGACGAGCCCAAGTCGTCATTGTTTAGATAGCTGGGGTGGCCAAGTCTATCCTGGCGCAGGAATATCGCCTGCCTCATGGAATTCTTCCATCTGGTCACCACCCAACCAGAACTTCTTGAAGCAGCAGGATACTGCCCCACGCGTAGTCGCCGCCCGCAACTCGCATTCACTCTGCCACGGGTTAGGAAACACGCCCGGAGGTCATTTCTCTTCCGCATCGCTGCCGTCTGGAATGCCTTGCCCGCAGACCTGAGAGCCCCAGCCTCGCAGTCCCTGTTTCGCAGTCACATTTGCACTTGCTTGTCTGACACCAAACACAATGCCACTCCTCACTGACATGCCTCTGTCCTCTCCTTCTTTGAGCTTTGCGATTATAAAAATTGTGTTTCTGTTTCGGTATATTTCGTACTTCAAGGCATACCCCGAGGCTATAGGTATTATTGAGTACAGGACCATTCTGGAACATTCAACCTATATTATTTTTCTAGCTAGGCTGTTCATTAGCCATCCACTGTCTGCTATCTCAACCCTACAGCCTCCCATTATAATGGAAATCCTCAAATATACAATAATAAAAAAACAGTCGCTAAATCTGACACTCTGTGAAATGTCTTTCGGTGAAACGTCGTTCTGTGAAGTGTGAACGCGTTTTCGGTGAACCTTCGGGATACCAAGGTGGCTACTCTTCGTGCGAGAGAGGACGCCGGCGGCGATCAAGTGCTCGCAAGTCTAGGGCCGTGTAATAGCAGCAGCCGCAAGTTACCATTATTACTCCGGTTCTGCATTTTGTTCTTCATTACTTGGTAATTGAGAATGAGTTTACTCACAACGTCAATACTGCTGTGTGAAACAATGAAGTAAAAGCCAAAGGAAAACGACAACACAAATAATAATTCGGAAATACATAGAACAGTAATAGGTTTTTCATTTGACCCGACGAGACCACACGACGCTTCATTCAACAACTGCTTCTCCTCTGATGAGTTCCCCGCTATCATTGTGGAACGAAACAAGACTTGTCAGGAGTAATACTACTTGCTTTCGTGGAGTGGGGCTGGTGAACTGTTCGTGCTGTGGGCTGCAAGCGTCGTGTGGTCTCGTCGGGTCAAATGAAAAACCTATTACTACTATTTGACGGACCTATGGAAGATGGCAACAAAGAATTAATACATAGAACACACAATTGAAATGTAAGATTGAACACAAAATCTTGACAAGACACCGTCACCATTACTCCTAGTAGGAGTAGAACAAGTAACTAATTTAGTACCTTACGTACATTTACTTCTTGTTCTAGCCTGCTTCCTGTGCTTTTTTCTGCTGTTGCTGCTTTTGTTCGCGCTATCCCAGCTTAGCGCTATAAGTCTCGTTGTTTTTGTCAGATATAAATAACCAGAGTCCTTGTAGGGAAAAAATATGGATTCAAACAAGTTTTCGTACAACACTCATCAGGAATCGTCGTTGTACTAAAGGACACTGAAACAAAAATTGAACTATTATAGAAAATCTAAGTTAGAGAAATAACACTAAGAGCAACAACAGTGAAATTTACAAGTGTGAATTTTAACAATCAAAGCGAGAAATGAACAAAGGAGAAAGGAAGGAAAGACAACGTGATAACACATAACAGCAGTACATTACACCTAGAACATTAACGGCCAAGCTTGGCCGCACTAAACACGACACGTTACTTGAACAATTTCAACCCAATTATACTATCTTTCTGTACACACAAATTAGGCTTGTACAGACGCTGATAGATAGCTTCCAACACTTTTAACTGTAGTCCATAACCACGGCACAATACAGTGAACGAAGAGTCGGAATACGCACCGCAACAATCAGGACTAGCCAGCAAATGATTGTACACTGAAGACTTGCTACCACGAAACCTACGCACAACACTAACACTCTCACCGGCACTCTCACCATCACTCCCATCACTGCTCTCCGACTCACTGCTCCCTCCGCCGTCCGTTCCATCCTCCGCTTCCTCTGTACTCTCTCTGTCTCGTCCATCCCGCCTGACCGGGTCCATTGAACTCAACTCGGCCGTCACCCTGCTATCACGTCCCTCCTTTCGCCCTCGTCCGCTGAGTGCGTAGCTTCTGTTGTAGTCCAGCCAAAGCGTGTTCACCGAGCCAAGGCATACCACACGTTGAACACTGAGCGAGTTTTTATGAAGGATGAGATTGCCAGGTCCGGTGACACGGTGTGCAAGTCTCGTTCACAGTTTAGGTCCTTGTATGATCGTGCACGTACATTTTTGTCCTCTCATGACTTCCTTCGTTTCTCAGTGCTCCTTTCTGAGAACGACCAGAAACAACGGATCAAACTTATCACCAAACATGACAAGACATACTGGCTCAGAAGGAAACGTTACGGCCAAGTTAACATCGATCCTGAAACAATAATAATAAACTTTACACCATTGGAATTGACTACCGTGCAGAAGGAGCTCCTTTGCCGTGGCACTGATTTTGGCGTTCCCCCATCATCAAATAAAAAAGGAAGTTATCATGACCGAGTTTGAATTGTTTTATCGAAAGTTATTACGTTTTACACCGATATCAGAAGCCCAACAATCAATATGCGCAGCAGAGATCCGAGCTGAGGCTGAGGAGCATGCGGACAAACTTCCAGATAAGCGATCATTTTCCTTAGGCCAGGAACACATGAAAGCCCTCCGTGACTTCCGCAAAAACACGGAAATCATCGTCACGCGCCCGGACAAAGGGCGGGCTACAGTTCTGATGCTCAGAACCGATTACATCGACAAGATGTCTGTCATCTTAAATGACACATCAAAGTTCCAGACCCTCGGCCCAGTTGAAAGTTTTGATCGAACAGAGAAAGTAGAAAAAGAACTAATAGCTTACCTAAAGAAACTGAAAGACGACGGTGAAATATCCTCAAATGATTTCGATCGCATTAAACCGACAGGCACCCTCCGGCCTAGGCTATATGGCTTACCAAAAATACACAAGCCCACATGTCCAGTACGTCCCATCGTTTCCATGACGGCTTCACCCCAATATTCTATTTCCAAGTGGCTGTGTATTTACTTACAACCAGTGCAGGACTACTACTGCAAGCGCACTGTAAAAGACAGTTTTGATTTCGTTGAGAAGCTCCGCAACAAGCCTGTACCATCCAACGCACACATGTGTTCGTTTGACGTCGTCAGTTTATTTACTAATGATTATGTGCCCATTGAAGAAACTGTCGACATCTGCATGGATGTTTTGTACCGTAATGATGACGTTGACACTCCTTGGATATCTGAAAGTGCGTTTAGACGGTTGTTGTTGCTGGTCACAACTGGTGTTGAGTTTTCGTTCGATAATGTCATGTACAAACAAGTCGATGGTGTTGCGATGGGTTCGCCCCTTGGTCCGGTATTGGCAAACGTGTTTGTCGATTACTGTGAGTCGAAAGTTGATGATTCATTGTGGCGTGACCTTTATGTACGTTTCGTGGACGACTCATTCACATATTTTGATAATGAGGAGCGTAGTAACGAGTTTCTTGACGTGTTGAATAGTATTCACCCTGCCCTTCGTTTTACATGTGAGCATGAACAGTCCAACAAATTGTCATTTCTAGATGTGCTTGTGGAAAAAACGAGTAGTGACGTGCTGACCACCGTTTATCGAAAGCCGACGTTTACTGGTCAGTACATTGTATATGACTCTTATTGTTCGTCTCAATATAAAGTAAACTTAGTGCGTAACCTTGTAGATCGTGCGAAGCGTATTTGTTCGTCCTGCAAGCTGCAGGAAGAGCTTGATTTTCTCCGGTCAGTTTTTGTCAAGAACGGGTACCCTGAGTTTTTGTTGCAGAAGTTGTTGAAAGTCGAACAAACTACGAAGGCTCCTATGATTGGTCCGGCTCGTTGTCCCGTTTATTTATGTTTGCCGTGGAAAGGGCAGGAGTCGACTAAAGTTTGTAGTGCAGTCAAGTCTGTTGTTCGTCGAACATACTACGCAGTACACTTTGTGCCAGTCTTTACGACGATGCGTGCGTTTACGGTGCGGAAGGATGTCCTACCAGCCCATCACTTAAGTCATCTTATTTACAACTTTGAATGCCGACAATGCGCTAGTCGGTATGTTGGTAGGACTGTTCAGCACCTGAACGCACGCATCAAACAACACACACCACGTCACATACTTCCACCTTGCGCACAACAACAAAGACCGAAGCGAGGGCGACCTAGAAAACAACCATTAACCACACAGCCGTTGCCTACACAACCCGCGGATCCTGGCTCACAGACTGTGCTTGCTCCGCCGTCGTTGGTGGCGGTGGTGGAGGAGAATGGGCGTGGTGGCTCATCGGGTCGGCTTGTGTCGCCGCCTTTGCTCCGGCCGTCGGTGGTTCCCTCGTCAGTGCCCCCGGCGGCTTTGGCTGAGGCGGTGCCGCTTGCGGTCCCGGTCCCACTGCCTCCTCCTGATCCTCCGCCATCGGTTCTTGCGGCGGTGGAGCTTGCCAGTGGCAGACCGCGAGCAACACTGACAGCTGCATTAACACTACAAATGCCGACTCAAAAAGACCCACCAAACAAACTGATTTTCAATTCTCATGGCCGCATCTCTTCCTCTCTTTTTCTGCATAAGATCGGAAAGCTGTGGAACTGCCTTCCACCAAGGCTGACATCCCAAGATTCACTTTCTAAATTTCAGCAGCAATATCGCTTGCACGTGAAAAGTTTTAAATTTGACTGTAGTGGTATATCCCTGGACATTTAAATTAATTGTTTTATTTTTAACAACCCAGCCCTGTGTTTATTGCTAATTTATGTAGCATATACTGTAACACGTGTAGTTTTCCTCACTGTTTATTTCTATTGTATGATTTGCATCAGGAGATCCCCTCGACAGGCCATCGCCTCTGGGAGATCCTTTAATAAAGATTATTATTATTATATTATTATTACCTTGCATATCAGTAACTCCCACACCAACACCAACAACGCAATCTACAGCGACCACAACTAATCCACCATCCAAGCCCATAATTGAAAGACCAAGACGATCAACAGCCAACTACAACAGAAGCTACGCACTCAGCGGACGAGGGCGAAAGGAGGGACGTGATAGCAGGGTGACGGCCGAGTTGAGTTCAATGGACCCGGTCAGGCGGGATGGACGAGACAGAGAGAGAGTACAGAGGAAGCGGAGGATGGAACGGACGGCGGAGGGAGCAGTGAGTCGGAGAGCAGTGATGGGAGTGATGGTGAGAGTGCCGGTGAGAGTGTTAGTGTTGTGCGTAGGTTTCGTGGTAGCAAGTCTTCAGTGTACAATCATTTGCTGGCTAGTCCTGATTGTTGCGGTGCGTATTCCGACTCTTCGTTCACTGTATTGTGCCGTGGTTATGGACTACAGTTAAAAGTGTTGGAAGCTATCTATCAGCGTCTGTACAAGCCTAATTTGTGTGTACAGAAAGATAGTATAATTGGGTTGAAATTGTTCAAGTAACGTGTCGTGTTTAGTGCGGCCAAGCTTGGCCGTTAATGTTCTAGGTGTAATGTACTGCTGTTATGTGTTATCACGTTGTCTTTCCTTCCTTTCTCCTTTGTTCATTTCTCGCTTTGATTGTTAAAATTCACACTTGTAAATTTCACTGTTGTTGCTCTTAGTGTTATATCTCTAACTTAGATTTTCTATAATAGTTCAATTTTTGTTTCAGTGTCCTTTAGTACAACGACGATTCCTGATGAGTGTTGTACGAAAACTTGTTCGAATCCATATTTTTTCCCTACACCATTTCTTCATATTTCCAGAGTCCTTTTTCTGGACTTTCATTCCTGAAGTATACAAGTATGGTCCTTGCTCCAAAATTTGAATAAAACGTGTCTAGGTTAGTGCTCTAAGTCTCGTTGTTTTTTTAGTCAGATATTAACCAGAGTCTTTGTTGTGGACTTTCATTCCTGAAGATGGGCCTTGCCCCAAAATTTGGATAGAACGTTTCACTAAAAAGGAAGAAGCCGAGAGACCGTTTTGGGTAACGGTGTATATGAGACATATCGGGTAAAGACCAGAAACTGCGAAGACAAGCGATCTGCATCTCAGTGTGAGCAGACCAGGCAGGGAAGAACGAGGATGGCTACAGAAAGCGTGCCGACACCGGAGTCGGAATTGAGACCTCGTATTCCATCACTACAGAAGATGTGCACATCTGTAGCGGCTCAGGCCCTCGTTCGACCTGGCAGGGAGACATTCGCGCTGGAGCGCAGAGCGCACCTAGTAGTCATGTACCAGATACGGACATTTGAAAATCTGAGGCGCTTTACGGCGTTCGATCTACTGGAATACGTTGCACATCGATGTCCGGAGCTGCTTACCGATGAGCTGGCTGGCCTCGTTCTGGGCCATTCGTATAAGTTCTGTGATGTAAACCTTTCCCACTGCACCAGCATAACGCAGGAGTGTTTGGTCGACTGGAGCAAGGCGTTCTTCTGCAAAAGTAGTGAATGTGCAAGTAGCGAGAGCTCAGCTGCAGCTAAGGCAGCAGATTCTCAGTAAGATTTGAAAGTGTACAAAGAATGTGTAATCTACAATCCTGCCTTGTGCCTGTCAACGAGAATTTCCCACCTCGGTAAAAGGGGTTGCAACTACGTGTTACTTCATGATCACCTTAGAAGGACTTTAACAACCCGACCAATAACGACTTCTGGGTCAAATTCAATTGAGTTCACTCTGCCCATAACTACTTAGCAATGTACACAATGATTAGGTGATGGGTAGGTCCCTCGTGTCGCATGCAGGCGTGATGAAGTTTTCTGTAACAGGAGTGGGCCGGCCCTGGACTGGGAAGGCCCAAGGCCGCTAGGCATTACCGACACGACAGGCGGGTCACCCTGCTGCATATGAAGGAAAAACAAACAAATACCTGTATGGACCAGTGTGGCAGTACAAGAACTGAATCCAACACAGCAACATGTTAATTAACACTAAAATAACAGTGGCAACACGGTCAGCGTCGCCATGACTCCGGGCTGCCTGTGACTTAGCACTCGCCATGCCCTCAGGCTGTAGTGACGTGACGTTAAAAGACACATGCCTAAAAGACACATGCCTAAAAGCCTAAAGGCTAAAGCCAAGGACAGCTCGTTGGAGTTCCATTTGGATTTTTTGTACATGTACACCTGTGGCAAGCTGGATAGAATCAGTCATGGCCATGACGAACATAAAACACATTGGAGAAATGGATAGGATCGTTGCATTCGTTGCAACGAACAAATAAGGTGCATACTGCGGGGTGATGGATGCAACTGAGAATTTAGGACACCTGTAGATTGAGGACATTTTGCCTCAGGCCTTTGGGTGTCCGTTATCACCAGGTTACACTGTACATGTACTTGGTTGTTTCTGTATTGCTATTTGCACAACCGAGTTCGTCACGTGATACTTGTACATGTACTCTTTACTTAACGGTGCTTATGCAGGACACAGAGGATTTACAGCAAGGTATCAACCCTGGACATCAGTAACACAGACTTGTTCAAAGTAGACAACAATCTCCCGGCCAGCACGGAATGGTGGCAGCGTGTCCTCCGTCCTTTGGTAACGTCCCTCATTCAAGTGAACGTGAGCAACACAGCAATCAGCGACAGAGGTGTTGAGGTAATTATTATTATTGTTCTGCTTGTTCCTGTTGACATCACCAAGCAAGCTTGGCTAGTCTTCGCTAGGCTCCGGCGGATTACGCTCGCGAAATCATGGAATTATGCTTTCTCATAATTATTATGCTTTGGCACGCGGGGATACATATTCACTTTGTTGTACTTATTGAGCCTCAAAGTTCGGAAAACTGTGCTTTTTCGTACCTGCAAGTGGCCATATGTACAACAAAATGTTACAAGAGTATCCCCATACCAAGGTGTCCATGCACGCTAGAGATCAACATGGAAAAGAGAAAACATCACGTCTTCTATTCATTAGTCGACTTCTTTTAAAAATATTTTTTCATTGTTGTTTGTTTTCTTGCTATGGCTATCCCTGCAGTTGTTTGTTAGCTGGTGGGGTGTGTGTGGGTGCGTGTGGTTGTGTGTGTGTGTATGTGTGTGTGCGTGGGTGTGTGTGTGGGTGCGTGTGGTTGTGTGTATGTGTATGTGCATGTTCATGCACACATGTGTGTGTATGTGTGTGGCAGGAGCATGTGAGTGAGAAAAGAAGTAGTTGACTTTTTTTCAAAAGATTTTTTCATTGCCAAATTAGTTACCTTTGAAAAATATTATGTTCAACTGTCTTCGTGATCACCATACTCATCCAACCGATGCCACCCTCACCCTGCGAATAATCAGCTCATCTCTCCCGTAGCTCCACTTCTCCTTCCGTCATGACCGAACAGCAACTACAGTATACCTCTTGAGGTTTTTTAAATTATTAGACCAATATTCATAGCCTGCGGTGCACAGTCATGGCTGCTAAAATCCAGAGGCAGAGGTCATGACTTCGTAACATGCATAATGTACATGTACGCGGAGTTTTGCGGACTACCCGTCACTATCTCATCCGCCCCAGGATACTTGATAAAGGGTGATTCACTCGCATCTTCTGCTTCATGTACTGTATCAGTGTGAGAAAGAACTTTGAAAAAGACGAGTTCGAGCATGCAAAAATGTATTGCCATGATTTCTACCCTTCTTTTCATTGAAAACACTATCTGCATGACCTTCGAACCCTTTACCATGCAGACCACCATCACTTATCAGGTGCATTGTACACAATTGTGTATTAAAATCAGACAATCCTAAAACACACACGAAATGTCAACTATTTACTTCCACAAATAAAACTGGAAACGGATGAATACATCAATCGTGTTTTGTTGCTTTGCCTCTCTGTATTGTCAGCTGTTATGATTGATGTTGAGGTAACCATAACATTATGCTGTGTTTTTGGAAGAAGATACTAGTGCGACTTGGGCGATACTTGGGGAATTGTGTGTTGCTCCCTACACGGGAGCTCGCGCCGGTTTACCTGCCGACTTGAATTCTCACTTGACTGACTCACGCCCGCCATCCAGAGCACACGAGAAGTCCATCAAACGGTCCACTCGGCTAACCAGACCTGCAAGAAAGCACCACTCCCTGCTCAATACACAATTTTTCGGGGAATTCACCCTCATCAGTTGAGCTTGAGTAGGCTGAGGAAGATTTTGCCTGAAGAGCACCCCTTTTATAGTGCTCTCCAGTCTCCACGTATAAGAATCACCAGAGATACAAACTTACAGAGACGCTCCGTTTCCAGCGCGACAAACAAATCGTGAACACCATCATTATAGCGGTACGAGTCAGTGTCTCTCATGGAGGTGCTGAACAAGCGCTGAGGACCGTAGACCATTCACAACGTTGTTGCCTCCAAACCATCTAATTCGCAAGCCCGAGCTGGTGATAACAACGTGAAGCAGAGGTTGGTGCGACTTCGGCAATGCTTGGGGAATTGTGTGTTGCTCCCTACATGGGGGTTCGCGGTTGTCCTGCCGACTTGAATTCTCACTTGGCTGACTCAAGACTGCCCTCCAGAGCACACTGTGTTTCGGGGAAATCCACCCCTCATCAGTTGAGCTTGAGTAGGCTGAGGAGGATTGTGCCTGAAGAGCACCACTCCAGGCCTGCTCTCCAGGCACAAACATCACCAGGGAGAGAACACTGGAAACGGAGCGTCTCTGTAAGTTTGTATCCCTGGTGATGTTTGTGCCTGGAGAGCACTATAAGTGGTGCAATCTTCCTCAGCCTACTCAAGCTCAACTGATGAGGGGTGGATTCCCCGAAACACTGTGTATTGAGCAGGGAGTGGTGCTTTCTCAGGCAGGCACAGTGGGTTGGTCGAAGACCATGATTGAGATACGAGAGGTACCTTTTTTTCTTTCTTTTTTTTCTCTTTTTTTAATGAATACCACAAAACCATCAGATGCTGCACAGCGCGGGCGGGGGCATATTGGATGGAAGTGGGGGTGGGGCAAAAGTAACTCCTCCGACCAAAGGTCTCGGAATCATCGCTACTCCTGTGCGCCGATACATAGGAGAAAAGAACATGTGCATCCAAGAGGGAAGCACCGGCTTTGCAAACGATAATGGGGAGAATTTGAGATTGAGATAGGACATAACAATAGTAAAAGCAGTGCACCGTAGGAAGATGGAGAGAACTGTTAATCGTAAGGCTGAGCGAAGGGGATCAAAGAGGGGTAGAAGGGAGCTGGAGTGCGGTCAGTATAATTAGGCTGGTGTGTTGGCTGCGATGGAGAGATCATTACCTGTCTGTGGCCCACTCCCACTTGCTGCGCCGCAAGTGGTCTTTAAACATTTTTCTTGAAGGTGTGCATACCTCTGCGAGAAGGGGGAGACTGCAGAAGGGTAGGTGGGAGCTGATTCCACGTTTCGATGAGGGAGTGGGGAAATGAGCGGAGTGTGTTTTTTCGTGACCGAGGAGGAAGGATACTGGTGAGTTGCGATGGATGATGTGCTGCATATCTGGTTGTCTCACGAGTAGACATGCGGCATTGCGGTGCGGCTGATGATGGTGGCAGAATGGCTTTCACCATTTCCGGACCCCTACCTGGTTCACGTCCTGCCTGGGAGCGGTTTTTCCAGCCGTGGTGCAACCCACAGTCAACTGGGAACTTGTGGCCAGGCACAAGGGGTACATGGATGCAGCTAATGGGGTTTCTTGGCTTTTGTGCCAGTGGTTGTGAGATTTATCCACTCGCCCCCACCGTTAGGCGCTGCATCTACCACTAGGGTTTACCGGGTGTTAGCGGCCGTCGTGAGTTCCCTTCGGGAACGGACACGATATTTTACTTACTTTTACTTAGTGGTGCTTTCTTGCAGGTTTGCCGAGTGGACGGTTCAATGGACTTCTGGTGTGCTCTGGAGGGCAGTAGTGAGTCAGTCAAGTGAGAATTCAAGTCGGCCGGAAAACCCCGATCTCCCATGTAGGTAGGCATCGGCGGCTAATGCTAGCATTATAGGTAGCATTATATGCTTGTTTTAGCAAACTAGCACTGCCGGGCATTAAAGTAGCATATCTGCAGCAAACTGGCATTATGGCCCGGTATGGGTGCTTTTGATGCCATTTACTGAACTAGCAAACGAGCGAAAACTGGTCACACGCGCAGTCTGCTGTGCATGTTGTTGTATTCTTTTATTTCAATTCAGCTCAGGGCACAGGCAATACTGCTCAGGGCACAGGCAATACAGCTCAGGGCACAGGCAATACAGTTCAGGGCACAGGCAATACAGCTCAGGGCACAGGCAATACAGCTCAGGGCACAGGCAATACAGCTCAGGGCACAGGCAATACAGCTCAGGGCACAGGCAATACAGCTCAGGGCACAGGCAATACAGCTCAGGGCACAGGCAATACAGCTCAGGGTACAGGCAATACTGCTCAGGGCACAGGCAATACTGCTCAGGGCACAGGCAATACTGCTCAGGACACAGGAAATACTGCCTTCTCACCGGAGAGAGGATTCTCCGATTCCTACCAAAAACGAGAAATCTGCGATATAAATATGTATGAGAAAGATATGGGAAAAATGAATAATGATGATGTCGGATTACGATAGTTTAGTTGTTATGCGAGATTTCCCTGACGGTAACAGATGAAGCGTTTTTGGAGGCAAATGTCCAGAGAGGGCTGAGGATGCGAGAACAAAATACAGCGTTCCGGAAGGCAATGGTGCACATAAGTAGAGCGTAAGGCAATGGTGCAGAAAAGAGGTGAGAACTTACAAACAAGGCAATCGTGCAGAAAAAGAGGGAACTGAAGAACTAGCGGTTCTAAAGGCCAAGGCACGAAGAGGTAGGGACCAGCGACTCAATACAGTGTCAGATGATGCTCTTGAATTCATCCTTTTGTGAAACACATCTAACTTCAGCCGGCAACTTATTCCAGAGAATGGCACCTTGGAAACGGATGGAGGACCGTCCAGCAGGACCCGGAAGGAAGGGGACACGTAAGAGCCATGTCACCTGTCCGCGAGTGACCCTTCGGTCATGATCTTCTTGAGAAGGTGCGGTTGGGGTGAAGAAAGACGAGAACAAGTGACTTGACAGAGAGTGCAGGCAACGGAATACAAACATGACTACTTCCCCTTGTCTAACCCCCAAGACGAAATGATAGTAGCAGACTGGCCGAAATTTAAAAAATAATAATAATAATAATAATATTAACTGGTTTGAGGGAAAGAGACAAACGGGAAAAAGTCTGAAGAAAAAATTGACTGTCACCACCAGGACTCGAACCAGGGACCCTCGCTTGTAGCCAGCGATGCTCTAACCACTGAGCTATGGTGTAGTCGTCATCCCAGCAGAGGCCGTTCAACATTTTCTTCAGACTTCGTAACTCACACTTCCTGTGAATCCACACAGGCGGGTGGGACGCAGCCCTCACTGTAACCCACACACTTCACGTACAAACTAGCACGCGGGGAGCCCCAAGTCATAAAATATTAACTAATAATAATAATAATAATAATAATACAAACATGAGGAGCTTTCGCTGAAACAATCTCTCAATAGTGGACAATGAGAGTCTCTTTCGTAGCGGCTGAGTCGCGATCGGGTTCTGCAGTCGTAGGATTGCTCGAACGCCGGACTTCGCCGATCTTTCGAGCCGAGTGAGACCAGCGGCAGACAGGGAGGGGAAGAAGGCGTTTGCGGCGTAGCACAGCTTGGCTTGTATCATGGCAACATACCATATCCGGCGGGCCGTGATGCTAAGTGCATCCCCATGTCGCCATAGACGACTTACGGCCTTCCCTGTCTGGCTAGCAAGGTAGATTTGGGACCGCCAGCTCAGGTCGTCGTCGAAAATGACACCAAGGTATTTTGCGGATGACACAGTGGCAAGCTCATCTCCATTGCAGCAGACGCGATCGACTGGATCTTGTTGCCCTCGAGGCTTCAGAAACATTACTTGGGTCTTCTTCTTGTTCAGAAGAAGACCAGTGTCTCCAAGCCGGTTACTGCGTTCGAGAGGAACTGCACAACAAGTGCTACATTTGCGTGTGAAAATTCTATCACGATGTTGTCAGCAAACTCCTGATGGGCGATAGCGGCTGGTAGGATGTCGCTAGTGGCTCTAGTATATAATACAAATAGGAGGGGGCCAAGGACACTCCCTTGTGGCACGCCTCGGCTGCAAGCTGTTTCGGGCGATAACTCGGCTCCAACCTTTATCCGCTGATGCCGACCGGACATGTAGCTCACAAGCCACTCCAGAACCTTGCCGTGAAAACCCAGTGAGTGTAGATCTATGACGAGACGTTCATGTTGGACTCGGTCGAACGCTTTAGACATGTCGACCATAACAACACCGACCGTTTTTCGCTGGGACTGTGCGTCTTTCCATCTGTCCACCGCTAAAACCAGCGCATCCTCAGTAGAGTGGGCTCGGCGGTAAGCAAACTGCGTGCTGGGGAAAAGACCCTGGTCGCTCAAGTACCGATCCAGCTGGTCCTCATGCATGTGATTGAGGCGTGGTGTCTCCAGCGTCATCTGAATCATTGTGCCCGTACCCCGTCTATTCCCAGCTACAATGTAGCAATCCAGCGCTGCTTCACTCCACTCTCTAGTACATGCCTGTAATAGTCTACCATACCGTGATACGGGTCATTCCGGTAGTTCAACATGACATGGCAGGCTTGTGATTTAGGCGAAAACCTCGCAACATTTGTGATGATTGTGTTGTTGCGTCAGTCAAAATGCTACATGTTGCAACTTGCAAGTCACGTGGTTCGGGTAGTCAGCTGACCGGTTACATGTAACTGTTTTCGCTCGTCTGCTAGTTCAGTAATTGGCATCAAAAGCACCCATACAGGGCCATAATGTCAGTTTGCTGCAGATATGCTACTTTAATGCTCGGCAGTGCTAGTTTACTAAAGCAAGCATTATAATGCTACTTATAATGCTTGCATTAGCCGCCGATGCCTACCTACAATAAAGGCTACATGGGAGCTAGCGGTTTTCCTGCCGACTTGAATGACTCACGCAACATCAGTGATGTTTTGTTGCGGCGGTCAAAATGCTACATGTTGCACCTTACAAGCCACGTGGTTGGGGCAGTCAGCTGCCGCTTCATGCTTCAGTAGTTACTACACTACCTTCTACAAGTAGCTTTCACTCCAGTCTCCAAGCTTCACCGCCTACTATGGCTATGTTCCTCATTTCGAGAGAAAGACTAAGTGATAATTCGGATGGTGAGCCAACATTAAATTTTTGTCCTCCTTTTTTCACCAGAAGTGATTATTATTATTAGTCACCTAACCTTAGCCGATCTTCCTTCCACTTTAGTTTGTGTCCGTGATTTTAATAGCGGGAGCGGCCAGGGACAATCTACGAAGGTGGTACATATCAGCCCTGCCGCTAGAGTTACGGAGTTCCCTCAAGAGTTTCTGACCATCACTACGAGGTGATTTGACTTTTTTTTAACATGGTTGTAAAATGACGTTTTTTCAGCCACTTCTAGGCAAGCTACGTCCAAATAAATTGTTGCAAGTGGAAGTGCTATCCTTCATGCCTGTTGTCTCAAAAAATGGGAATGATCCCACTTTGGAAAGTGTCTTGAATCTTGTCCTACTTTCATAGTATTCTCAGGGTTCAAATAATTGGTGTGTCATTTTTTAACAAATTTGTAAAATGGCATCACAAACCGGGATATTCGGTCATCAATGTTCTGAAGTTGATAGATATCACTTCAAGGAATGCCAGTGGATGAAAATTAATCTGTCAACTGCATTGTATGCTGCCGCAAAGCCGTGTTTTTTGTATTTGTAACTAGTGGCTGTGTCATACGGTAGAATTGGATAGGTAGCATAGCATCGCAGCCTTGTTTTCGTTCTCACAGAGTGTATTCCGTGACCTACTGTTCTTCATTGTTGTCTTTAGTGATGGCAAAACGGCCTGACGTCGTCCAAAGGCCCTGCGGAAGCAATTCACTGCCCTCGACCTCCTCGTCCATTCAGGGGCTTATTTTACACATTTTACACAAAGCAGCAAAGCACCCACCACTAGTTATACCGCCGTGGCAGGGAGAATTGAATTATATGCACCAAATTGTCTGGTCAATGTTGATCTCAGTACGATAAACTGGCTCTCATTTGCCACCACCCATGTTTCGATACAGCCAACCGGAGCAGAGAAACAGCCAGAAGAAAAGCAAATTTTACACATTTGTTAAAAAATGCCAAATGTTAAAAAAAGCCAAATTACTTCGTACTGGAAAGTTATTTTTTTCAAGCGTGTCACCTTATAGTGATGCCAAAAAGGCATAATGCCATAATGCTCCGGAGCTACATTGCCGCAGCAAGCAGCAGAAGGTGAAAGCTATCCACTTGACCTGTCTCATGGAAGCAGTACCCGGAGAGGGACAGACTCAGTGAACAGATAGACGAAACAAGCCTCGCTAAGCCGCCTACACGGTTGCTGCAGCTGATGCCGCAAGTTCTAATAATGTTGATCATCTGGCATGGTGGAAAGATCAAGATAACCTCGTCAATTGGCAGGAGGCTGTGAGGATTATGCTCACCATTCGACCCTTATCTGCAGCTCCTGAGTGAGTATTCTTCTCCTGAGTCAGGAATGTCATACCGCCAGCAATGTACATTGGAAGATCGCATCAAAGTTGAGCTAATGCTCAGCTGCAGTACAATCATGGGAAACTGATTAGGGAGTTGTGAGCTTACAACTGATGTCCATACTGCACAACGAGAGGCAGAAAACAATGTCAGTAGTCTTGATTTTGTTTACCCCACCAGATATGCATTCACAGTCAATGAAAATTATATTGAAACCCAAACGGAATGTTTGCAATTAATTTTATATTTGCCAGACTGTCATACGCTGCAGCCTATTTTGAATTTATGATGTTCTTTCCGATCCTTTTTACCCACACTTGTCACTTTGGTTGCAGAACGAGCATTCAAACG